CTTCAGTGATCAGCAGCCACCAGTCGGCTTGCAGTATGGGACTGCGTCTGAGAGGAACACTGGAAGGGAGGCAGCTCAGCTGCTACACTGGCCCCATACACCTGGCATCTTCCTCTGTCTTTTCTTCCTCCTCTGTCAGGGCAGGAACGCTGGAATGGGCAGGCAGGCCTATGGTACGGTCACGCTGCGACTGACGACAGCCACTACCCACAGACCAGAGTCCCTCAGGGCGCGGAGTCTAAGCCCCAGGCTACCCTTCACCAGGGCCCCTGATGGTGGGGATGGACTTGACGCAGCCTGAGACCAGTGACCCCAGCTGCGATAACGACTGCCGCCAATGGCGTACAGCTGGTGGGAGCTAGATGGGAACACGAGTAGAGTAGTCAGACAAGCCGGGTCACTAACAACGAAGCAGACAGTACTAGACAGTAGGCAAAGAATACTCAGGTCATGGGCCGGGTTCAGCAACGGGAGGTCAGATAAAGGGTTAATGCAGAGAGTAGTCTTGTCCAAGCCAAGTCGGTTACCAGGAGAGCAATGGGAACAACACAAGAGCTTGCAACAGGGCAACATACAGGACACAAGTGCAGAGCACACTTGCAGACAGGAGGTTTAAATGTGCTCACCCACACCCTTCTGAGGAGGAGCCGCAGAAGCCTGAAGGCATAAAGGTTCCCACCATGCTTTGCAGAAAACCAAGATGGATGCCAGCTCATGGAGATGCACAAGCTCTGAAGAAAGGTAGGACCTTGACATCCTCTCTGCCGCCCCTCCCCTCAGCTGAAGGATCATTCATGATGTGGTGGCATCCTACACAAAGAGAGTGCTGGCCTGCGCTGCGCCCAGGCTCCCCTAGGTGGCAGTGTGCTCCAGGCGGCTGCCTAGTTTGCCTAGTGGAAGCATCGGCCCTGAATGTACCTATTTATTTTTATCATGTTATTTCGACTTGAATTCTGTTTTTAAAGCAAACCTTCAAGCAGCTTAAAATGTAGAACCCTTGTAGCCCTCATCCCTACATGATGCAGACTATATTGAAAAAAGACACTGTGTAGTCGTATCATAGTTTACAAACATCAAAGTGAAGCAGAAGATGGGTAGAGATACCTGAAATGAAATATAAATATCCAGAATTCCTTAGCCAATCAGAAGGCGTTACCTACATCAGAGGAAACAATAGGTGCATTATTAGACATGCAGACAAAGTTGCAAATGTGAGGTACATTGTTATCTATTAAAACCACATTTTGACCAAATGCTGTGAAAGTGAGAGTGGATCTGGAGTTACCAATGCATTTTCTGCCCTTGTAGACATCCTTTAGCTATATGTCAGTAAATATATATTTTTTATTATAAAGCCAGCTTCTTGCACACCAAGTTGGGAAGCTGTCCATCTTCTGCTGTTGGTAATTGTAGATCCCGAAGAAAAGAATCGTGACTTGACTTACAAAACCTGCTGGAGCTTAAAAAATAATGAATCGTTATTTTGGAGTTACTTCAGGTAGTAAAGGGTTGAATTGCTTTCAAGAAAAGTTCCCTGACTCAGCAGACTGCTCCCATATGTTATGGAAGTGCCCTGTCATCCAAACGTCCTAGTCTGTGATCGTTTTATCTCCATGTAGCTCACAGACCACTGATGGTTCCTGCTGTTTGTTCCAGGTTCTTTTTCCAAGTGGGTGCGAACAGCCCAGCACACAGCAGTTTTCCAGTCTCTCAACACAATAACCAGGCAGCATGTGTCTTTTTGACGTTTAATGCTAGTTAAACTTTGTTGGGGGTAGTTTTGCATTTTTATATATATGATTGTATAGGGTAAGAGGTTTCACCTTTAATGCCAGAAGCTAGACAACCAAGCGCTCACTTTTACCTCTTGTATTCATTGGTTGGGGGGTAGGGTGAGCCTTGGGATACTCCAAATGTAGTACAAATTGTAAGAGAGGACACTCTTTGGAAGTACAGTTGCAAGAAAAAGTATGTGAACCCCTTGGGATTACGTGGAGTTTTGCATGAATTGGGCATAAAATGTGCTCTGAACGTCATCTAAGTCACAACAATAGAAGAACACAGTCTGCTGAACATAATACTACACAAACATTAGATGTTGCCATGGTTTAATTGCACATAACATGTAAACATTCACAGTGTAGGGAGGAAAAAGTATGTGAGGCCCTAGCTTAATGACCTCTCCCAGAGCTAATTGGAGCCAGGAGTGAGCCAACCTTGACTCCAATCAGTGTGATGATATTGGATGTGTTGCTGACAGCTGTCCTGCCCTTAAAAAACACACACCTGTCTTGGGTTTACTGGTTTCAAGAAGCACTGTCTGATGTGAACCATGCCTCGCAGAAAAGAGCTCTCAGAAGACCTACGATCAAGAATTGTTGACTTGCATGAAGCTGGAAAGGGTTACAAAAGTATCTCCAAAAGCCTTGATGTTCCTGTGTCCATGGTAAGACAGACTGTCTACAAATGGAGAAAGTTTAGCACTGTTGCTACTCTCCCTAGGCGTGGTCGTCCTGTAAAAATGACTGCAAGAGCACAGCGCAGAATGCTGCATGAGGTAAAGAAGAATCCCAGAGTGTCAGCTAAAGACCTACAGAAATCTCTGGCACATGCTAACATTTTTGTTGACACATCTACAATAAGGAAAACATTAAACAAGAATGGAGTACATGGGAGGACACCACGGAGGAAGCCATTGCTGTCCAAAAAGAATATTGCAGCACGTTTGAAGTTTGCAAAAGAGCACCTGGATGTTCCACAGCACTACTGGCAAAATATACTGTGGACAGATGAAACCAAGACTGAGTTGTTTGGGAAGAACACACAACACTATGTGTGGAGAAAAAAAGGCACAGCACACCAACATCAAAACCTCATCCCCACTGTGAAACATGGCGGAGGGAGCATCATGGTTTGGGGCTGCTTTGCTGCCTCAGGGCCTGGATAGATTGTTGTCATTGATGGGAAAATGAATTCCAGAGTTTATCAAGACATTTTGCAGGAAAACGTACGACCATCTGTCCGCCAACTGAAGCTCCGCAGAGGATGGATGATGCAACCGGACAATGACCCAAAGCATACAAGTCATTCAACAAAACAATGGCTGCAACAGCACAGAATACGCCTTCTGGAGTGGCCCAGTCAAAGTCCTGACCTCAACCCGATTGAAATGCTGTGGCATGACCTTAGAGAGCGATTCACACCAGACATCCCAAGAATATTGCTACACTGAAACAGTGGTCCAAACACCAAAAGTGGTGAAAAGGAGTGGTCCAAAATGACTCCAGATCGTTGTGCAGGTCTGATCTGCAACTACAGGAAATGTTTGGTTGAGGTTATTGCTGCCAAAGGAGGGTCAACCAGTTATTAAGTCCAAAGGTTCACATACTTTTTCCTCCCTGCACTGTGAATGTTTACATGTTATGTGCAATTAAACCATGGCAACATCTGACGTTTGTGTAGTATTATGTTCAGCAGACTGTGTTCTTCTATTGTTGTGACTTAGATGACGTTCAGAGCACATTTTATGCCCAATTCATGCAAAACTCCACGTAATCCCAAGGGGTTCACATACTTTTTCTTGCAACTGTAGCTAAATTCTTATGGGTGGATGTCTTGTAATAAGAAGAAGTGGACAAACAGCTCAGGGGACTTCCATCATTGTGGCAGCAGCCTTGAGCCAGCAACTCTAGAACAGTCTCTCCAAGGGTTAAGCAGTAACAGTCTTTCTAGGATCTCTTACACTCTCAGGCCCCAACTCACCATGTCCCTGTTTCATGGATGCCTCCTTCCAAGACCAGCCAGACCCTTTATCATGAGCCTCTAGTCTAGATCCTCAGCAGACATTCGCCAAACATTTTTTGGCAGCTTTAGAAGTAGGCACTCCCCCCCAGCTCTCCCTGAGCTGGGACCTCATTGAAACTCCTGAAGTCTTCAGCTAATCTTCCCAGAGGGGCAGCATCCCTTCAGGCAGTGTCTTCTTCTCCAGGACAAGGAACCTGCTGTTCCAGGCCCTAGACTATACACCCATCTGCCACCTTCTGGTCAAGCCCTTGACAGAGGATTGGCTAAGGCTGTGTGTATTCAGCCCTAGGTCTGTCTCTTCCAACCCACTATATTCTAGAACAGTTGATCCTGCAACCAGCAGGACCCAGAAAAGCCAAATTCAAACAAACTTTGCTCCAACGGCAAAGGAGCCAAAAACTAAATGTAACTAATTCTATTAGTAACCTACTAGGAAGGCACACCTACAGTATATTAATTATTGTTAATATCCCCTTAAAATGGAGCAACATGTTTGTTGAGTATGGTGGAACCATTAGCTCCTACTCAAGTAATCAGAATATTTCTGGGCTTTCTATTCTATGCCAGGAAAGCTATTGTACTATAATGGAAGTCAGCCATAGTTCCCACATTAGACTTTCTGAAGTATTTAGTCAACTTTGCACTCCCACTGTATAGATCCTTATACAAATCTAGAGGATGCCCCAGGAAACTGACCTCGGGTTGCAAATTTTTTTTCGCAATACGAAGTGTATGTCGGTGCCGCTTTTTAAATGCAATTGCCGGCTTTTTTTTTTTCTCCTATAGCTGACAGAATTAGCTGTCACTTTGCCTGGAGCTAAAGGAAACTTTGTTTCTTTTAAGAAACTAAAAGGAAAGATTGTTTCTTTTAACTCAGGGAAATAAACTAAAAGGAAACTGTTTCTTTTAGCTGGGGGGGAAGTGACAGCTGATTCTCTGAGCTATGGTGAAAAAAAAAAAAAGGCCTGTAATTACATTTAAAACAGAGTTCCACTCACCCTGTCAAAAAATAAAAGTCAGCAACTACAAAAACTGTAACTGCTGACTTTTAAAAAACAGCCACTTAGCTGTCCCTCGGTCCCATGGTGTGTCCCCCGCAGCTCGTTTCACCTGCAGTCCTGTATTCCAGGAGGCCGGCATCTTCACTGTGGGCACTCGGATGGGATAGCTGGTGGTTTCACAACCGGGTACCCACTGCGCATGCGTGAGTAGCGCTGCGCTTCGTAAATGGTCCTGTAGTCTTCTGGGACCTGTCACGTGTCCCAAAAGACTACACATGGAGGGAGGGAGGACACCTTCCATTTCCGATCGCCTAGGTGATCGGACCGGAAATGGGAGCCGGCATCTTCACTGTGGGCACCCGGATGGGATAGCTGGTGGTTTCACAGCCGGGTACCCACTGTGCATGCACAAGTAGCGCTGCGCTTCGTGAATGGTCCTGTAGTCTTCTGGGACCTGTCATGTGTCCCAAAAGACTACAGCGAGGGAGGACACCTTCCATTTCCGATCGCCTAGGTGATCGGACCAGAAGCGAGAGCGGGTACCTGTCAAATTCGGGTACCCGCTCCACCCCACTCCCCAAAGGTGCCAATCCTTAATGGGGAGCGGGGGAGCAGTCCTTAAAGCAGAACTTCCCCTTTTGGGTGGAGCTCCGCTTTAAAAACTGGCACTGGAACTTTTTTCTGACCTCCAGAACAAATTAATTGGTTTTCAATGCATTCCTATGGGAAACCGCATTTTGGTTTACGAATTTTACGAAAAACGTCCCGGAGAACGCATTAAATTCATAAACCGAGGTACAGCTGTATAATAATAAAATGAGCAGGCATGTAAAATGTAAGAGTCTTGTATAAAAAATAGTTTTCAGACAAATGTTACAATGATGACTCAATCTGTGTGTTCACACATACAATACAGCATCCTTTCACTTTCAATGAAACCGAGTGCAAAAGAGAAATGTTTAGATCGCTCTTCTATTCCGAATATCAGTATAAAAAATGTCACCATTTCACACTATTAAGGGAAAGCTATGGAGGACACATTTCTGTGTCAGGCTAATTCGCTGTGATCTGATTTCAGCTGAGACATGAAATGGGAAATTCTCAAGGCACATGGAAGGAGAAAAGTCTCGCTCTCTGCTCTAATTACAAATAACACCCGACAGTTCTGCTATGTTGTCGCAGATTGGTACTGTAAAGACAATACGGCTAAGGTACCTGACAACTTCCCCCAAAGATGATGAAACAACTGCTGGAAAATGAAATCACCTGGTAGTGTGTGCGTGTATATAGACACATTCACCGGCCACTTTATTAGGTACAGATGTTCAATTGCTTGGTAACACAAAACTGCTAATCAGCCAACCACATGGCGGCAACTCAATGAATTTATGAATTTAGGCATCTAGACGTACTAAAGATAACTTGCTGAAGTTCAAAAAGAGCATCAGAATGGGGAAGAAAGGGGATTTAAATGACTTTGAACCTGGCATAGCTAATTCAAATGCATTTCACTTTTGGGCACCAATTCAAAAAAAGAACATTGGGGAACTGGAGAAAGTACAGAGAAGGGCAACCAAACTGATAAGAGGCATGGAGGAGATCAGCTATGAGGAAAGATCAGAGGAACTGAATGTATTCTCTACTGAGAAGAGGAGATTAAGGGGGGATATGATCTCCATGTATAATACATAAGGGGGGATATGATCTCCATGTATAATACATAAGGGGGGATATGATCTCCATGTATAATACATAAGGGGGGATATGATCTCCATGTATAATACATAAGGGGGGATATGATCTCCATGTATAATACATAAGGGGGGATATGATCACCATGTATAATACATAAGAGGGGATATGATCTCCATGTATAATACATAAGGGGGATATGATCTCCATGTATAATACATAAGGGGGGATATGATCTCCATGTATAATACATAAGGGGGGATATGATCTCCATGTATAATACATAAGGGGGGATATGATCTCCATGTATAATACATAAGGGGGGATATGATCTCCATGTATAATACATAAGGGGGGATATGATCTCCATGTATAATACACAAGGGGGGATATGATCTCCATGTATAATACACAAGGGGGGATATGATCTCCATGTATAATACACAAGGGGGGATATGATCTCCATGTATAATACACAAGGGGGGATATGATCTCCATGTATAATACACAAGGGGGGATATGATCTCCATGTATAATACACAAGGGGGGATATGATCTCCATGTATAATACACAAGGGGGGATATGATCTCCATGTATAATACACAAGGGGGGATATGATCTCCATGTATAATACACAAGGGGGGATATGGTCTCCATGTATAATACACAAGGGGGGATATGGTCTCCATGTATAATACACAAGGGGGGATATGGTCTCCATGTATAAATACACAAGGGGGGATATGGTCTCCATGTATAAATACACAAGGGGGGATATGATCACCATGTATAATACATAAGAGGGGATATGATCTCCATGTATAATACATAAGGGGGATATGATCTCCATGTATAATACATAAGGGGGGATATGATCTCCATGTATAATACATAAGGGGGGATATGATCACCATGTATAATACATAAGGGGGATATGATCTCCATGTATAATACATAAGGGGGGGGATATGATCTCCATGTATAATACATAAGGGGGGGATATGATCTCCATGTATAATACATAAGGGGGGGATATGATCTCCATGTATAATACATAAGGGGGGGATATGATCTCCATGTATAATACATAAGGGGGGGATATGATCTCCATGTATAATACATAAGGGGGGGATATGATCTCCATGTATACTACATAAGGGGGGATATGATCTCCAGGTATAATACATAAGGGGGATATGATCTCCAGGTATAATACATAAGGGGGGATATGATCACCATGTATAATACATAAGGGGGGATATGATCTCCATGTATAATACATAAGGGGGGATATGATCTCCATGTATAATACATAAGGGGGGATATGATCTCCATGTATCCATCAGTGGTTCATATAGTGAACTCGGTGTAGTTATTCTCCCTGAGGTCATCACAGAGGACAAGGGGGCGCTCTTTACGTCTGGAGGAAAAGAAATGTAATCTCCAAACACGGAAAGGTTTCTTCACAGTATGAGCTGTGAGAATGTGGAATAGACTCCCTCAAGAGTTGGTTGTGCCCAGCTCAGTGGATTGCTGTAGGAAAGTCCTGGATTCTTTCTTGGATACACAGAATATAACTGGATATAACATTTATAGGGAAAGTTGATCCCGGGAATATCCGATTGCCTCTCAGGGGATCAGGAAGGAATGTTTTCCCCTGCAGGAGCAGATTGGATCGTGCTTTGCTGGTTTTTTTTGCCTTCCTCTGGATCAACTGTGGGTGTTGGATTATAACTTTTTTTTTTGCCATGGTTGAACTGGTTGGATTTTTGTCTTTTTTCAGCCAGACTAACTATGTAACTACGTACCTTTAAGTATAACATTATATTTTTTTTTCCCGTTGAAGTGCTTGCTGGGTTTTTTTTTTAAAGCAATGAAATAACCCGTTTTATTGTTATCTCTTCTGAGTATTTACTCTGCTTTGTCCAGCGTGAGGATAAACAGAATATGGAAGTAGCCCCCACCTCTTCAAGTGTGCTTAGACTGTGTTGGGCCCCATTCAACCAGAGCAAAAGTATCAAGCCAAACCACGCACGCTCTCCCAGCTCAGTACAGCGCGCGGTCTGATCATCCTTGCATGCTCACAGCATACCCACAGGCAGTGTAAGAAAACTACGATATGGTAAAGGAGGGAGGGCACCATATGGTGTGGAACATCACTTTGTTTAAGAGATAAAAGAGAAAAAGTTGCCCTTACAAAATGGAAGGTTGAGCATATCAATACTGAGATCCTGGAAAATCCCACCAGAGCTCTGTGTAGGACAACAAATGATCACCTCTGCCTGCAATGAGGAAGAAGATGCAGATGGAACACTCTGGCAAAGTCTGGGTGGGATACAGAATACTGGAGACCAGGGGCGGACTGACAATTTGGGAACTCGAGCTCTGCCCGAGGGCCCGGGTTCAGTAGGGGGCCCCATTAGATGCACCTGGTACCTTTCATAGGCTTTTTTGGGTGTGGTTTGAGTGTGGGCGAGGACACAGGGGTACCATGATCCCCTATTGCCCGGGGGCCCCATGAGTTGTCAGTCTGCCCCTGCTGGAGACATAGAACTGCCAAGATGTAATACACAACTGAAGAGAGGCCCATCCATCATTGTTGGTTGTGCATTACATCTGGAAGGTTCTGAGTTCTCAGTGCCCCGCGTTCCATGCCATCTGTACCAGAATGTTCTATCTGTGTCTTCTCTTCAACTTCGGGCATCATGTAGGTGATTGTTTTCCACCCTCCAGAATTTCTACAGCCAAAAATATTGGTACCCCTGAATTTCTGTCATGATAACACACCACTTCGCCCAGAAAATTGTTGCATTTAAAAATGTATCGGTATTCTCATGTTTATTTCTTTGTTTGTATTGGTAGGACCCAAAAAAAGCGGAGAGACAAAAAGCCAAATCTGACGCATTCTCCGCAAAACCCCAAAAATGGACTGGACAGAATTATTGTCACCTTCTCAAAAATTGCAGTCCTAGTTTGTGATGCTCCTGTAATTTGTAATTAAACTCACCAGTATCATTTAATAGATCTTATTGTTCCTGTGTTCACTACGTGCAGCATTGTCAAGAAGTGCACAGCCCATGGCACTCTAATTAATCTCCCTGGATGTGGACAAAAGAGAAAAACTTGATCAAAGATTGAAATGAAGGATTGTTGGAATGGTGTCTAAAAACTTCAATCAACTTCCAGACAAATCCAAGCTGACCTTCAGGCACCGGGTGCAACTGTGTCCGCTCACACTATACGTCACCATCTGAATGAAAAGGGACGCTATGGTAGAAGACCCAGGAGGACCCCACTGCTGACACAGAAATATGGTAGGAGACCCAGGAGGACCCCACTGCTAACACAGAAATATGATGGGAGACCCAGGAGGACCCCACCGCTGACACAGAAATATGGTGGGAGACCCAGGAGGACCCCACTGCTGACACAGAATAATGATGGGAGACCCAGGAGGACCCCACCGCTGACACAGAAATATGGTGGGAGACCCAGGAGGACCCCACTGCTGACACAGAAATATGGGAGCAGACCCAGGAGGATCCCACTGCTGACACAGAAATATGGAAGAAGACCCAGGAGGACCCCACTGCTGACATAGAAATATGGAAGAAGACCCAGGAGGACCCTACTGCTGACACAGAAATATGATGGGAGATGCAGGAGGACCCCACTGCTAACATAGAAATATGGTAGGAGACCAGGACGATCCCACTGCTGACACAGAAATATGGTAGGAGACCCAGGAGGACCCCACAGCTGACACAGAAATATGGTAGGAGACCCAGGAGGACCCCACTGCTGACACAGAAATATGGTAGGAGACCCAGGAGGATCCCACCGCTGCCACAGAAATATTGTAGGAGACACAGGAAGATCCCACTGCTGACACAGAAATAT